AATGGTCAAATTGGTTAATTTTATGTTATGCTTACTTTGTCACAATAATAAGAAAAAAAGATGTCAGCTAAGACCGCAGTTATTTTGAGGCTTGACTGCAGCTGGAAACTGTATTAAAACTCACTCATGTGGTTTTTAGAAAATTTCAATTCCTCACTGTCTGTTGGCCACTACGTGCACTTGTCCACTGGAGGATTTGAGTGTACTCAGAACACAGGGAGTGATTCAAGAGTGGGAGAATGACAGCATCCAAGACGGAAGCCATAGTTTTTGCATAACCTAATCTCAAATGTGACATCTGCATCATGCTGCTGGTCACACAGACCAAAATTTGTGTACATTGTGGGAGGGGACCCAGTTGGGGCACTAGTAGATGGGAGTCATTCCAGGCCATCTCAGAGGCTGGATACTACACACAGTGCTCAGTTTTTCTCCTCTGGTAATTGGAATGTGAAGACCCGATTCACTTGCTCCAACTCCATGAAGTCCCTCCCCCCTAGTGACTCTAAGATCTTCCGCCCTTTGTTTTTGTTTAGACTCTGTCCAGGTTCCCGATCACCACCCTCTGCTGTGTCCCCACCATCTTCCGGCTGCTTGTGCAGGAGGATCTGACCAGGTAGGGCCCATCTTTTTGGTGCTTTGGGAGCCTAAGTATGTAAATATATAGCACAGGTACCCCCCTCCACCACCCACACACACACACATACACCTTCTCATTCCAACTTTCTGTCTCTTGGTCTCTCTCACACACACATAGTCACAAGCACACATACCCATATCCTTTGCAGATACCTCTCAGTGAACTTCTGGTGGGGGGGAGAGTGTAGCTCAATGTAGAGTACATGCTTAGCATGCACGAAGTCCTGGGGTTCAATCCCTAGTACCTCTAATCAATCAATCAGTCAATCCATCCATCCATCCATCCATTCATCCATCCATCCATCCATCCATCCTAATTACCACCCACTCCTGAAAAAAAAAAAAAAGAATAAACTTCTGGCCCTAGGAATTTGCATCCAGATGGAAGTGATTAGATCTAAGACAGTCTGAAATTTCAGTGCTCGAGGTGGGCAGCCTCCCTAATCCCATGTATCTGGCCATGAAGCACCTAAGAGAGCTAGTTTTTCCATGATTGTCAAGATTAATTTTATGATGTATGGATTCATCCCATTCACTGATCTGTTGTAAATTATCTCCACAGCATGAGTTGACCAAAATCAGACCCTGAATGATTTGTTCAAACAAAATGTGGTTGAAAGATACTCAGTAATATTAAGTAATAGTCAAACCAATTTGATCCAAAAAGGAAAATGATAATAAATGTATTTGCAATCACTGATTTTTCACATTTTGGATAGTTTATTGAATGGAGGGGTTTTGCAATACATTTAGTATTTGTCAGGATTTTTGTGTTCCTAGAGGGCCGCTTTCTGTATTTTTAGTTTTTAATTTATCTTTCTCAACACGTAGTTGTCCCAACCAATTTAATATCAATTCGTTTATTTACAGCTAAATCATTTTGGCAAATTCACCTGAAATTCACCATGTTATACCAAAGTCTACTATGTGAGTTTCTGATTTTATTCCAAACTCAAGTTGGATTTTTTTTTTAATTACCAGTACATGAGGAACATGACTGCAAGGCCGGGGCACTTGGAGTAGATTATAAAGTATGGGAGTTTATGCTTTAGTGCCTTCAAGTGTCTGGACCGAGGCAGCAGTGCTGGAGTGTGGGGTTGGGATAAGGGTCCTGACACAGGTGGCCTTGTCTTCCAACTGAAAAGGTACCAGTTTCAGAGCCTGAAGCACTGTTTGGCCGGAGGAGAGGCCCTGAACCCTGACGTGAGGGAGAAGTGGAAGAGCCAGACAGGCCTGGAGCTGCACGAAGGCTACGGCCAGTCTGAGACAGTGAGTGCAGCCGGGCCCTGCCCCTTCCCCAGCACCTCTGCCTGAGCCCCCTGCCAGCTTCTGGGGAAGGCTGGTCTGCAGAGCCTCCTGCCTTGCCGTCTGTCATCTCTGTGAAACGCTCAGGGACTGCCTTGCCCACAGGGAGGAGAAGCTGTTTGGGAAGGGATAAATTTGGGAGTTTGAGATTTGCAAGTGATGATCACTATATATAAAAAAACCATATTTCTTCTGGATAGCACAGGGAATTATATTCAATATCTTATAATAACCCTTAATGAAAAAGAATATGAAAATAGAATATATATATATATTTGTATATATATGCATGACTGGGACACTATGCTGTACACCAGAAATTGGCACATTGTAACTGACTGTACTTCAATTAAAAACAAAAACCAAAACTCCATTAGTCTTTCTTCCCTTTTAGTTTAAAGGTAATTTAAAATAATTTCACAGTGACACCTTAGCCAGCAAACTAACTCTTGTGGCCGAAGATGTTTGTCTTCACCAAGACAGCCTACGTCTGTCTCTGGTCAGAGCTCAAGATCTTAAACAGTATTCTCTATAGCCATCCAGGCACAAATTTGGCGATCAGCTGAGCCTTTTGGCTTCATGACACGTCAAGTTCTTCACGTGCCTATTTGAGTGTTCAGTAAGTGATTGTCATCTATGAAAAGAAGAGAAGGAAGGAGGGAAAGAAGGAAGGAAGATGAAAAGTAGAGAAAGGAAGAGAATGTAGAAGAAGGAGGAGAGAAAAAGAATTAGAAGGCAGAGTGAGAGAAAAGGTATGGACCAGGAAGGAAATAAAGAAACAAGCTCCCTCCTTATTGGTTCTGGTGTCTCTCCAGGTTGTGATCTGTGCCAATCCCAAAGGCTCGAAAATCAAGTCAGGATCCATGGGGACAGCATCCCCACCTTACGATGTGCAGGTAGGCAGCCGCTCCCAACTGTTGCTGGAGCTTGGTTCCTTCCAAGAGGAGAGCAAAACACACATCTGGATTAGCAACACAGGGCTCGGCCCACAGGTGGCCTGGTTATGCAGACTTCTAGACACTGTCCTGTGATCTCTCTGCCAGATTGTAGATGATGAGGGCAACGTCCTGCCTCCAGGAGGAGAGGGGGATATTGCCATCCGTATCAGACCCACCCGGCCCTTCTGTTTCTTCAGCTGCTATTTGGTAAGTGGCCATTTTCACAGTAAGTGTTGTGTGCCAAGCACTGTGCTCCGTGCTTTATACACATCTATTTGTTTAACCTTTGTAGTAACTGCAGGAGGCGGATTGGCACTGTTGTTGACAAGATGCCATTATTGACAAGGAAGCTGAAAGATGAAGTGGCTTATCCAATGTCAATTACCTAGTGTGTGCAAGGACAAGGGATGTGAATGTGGATATGCCTCGAGTGCAAACTTATAAGGGCAGCACCAGCATTTTAACGATGAGAAACTCAAGGTTCAGCGAAGGGAAGGGACTCACCAAAGGTCAAACTGCAATTTCGTGCCAGAGCCTAGTTTTCAGGACTCTCTTTGTCTTGAGTCGTGTCTGGATAAATGTTCCCTGGCAGTGCTGTGTCCTAGGATTCTAGTCCACATTTCTGTGATAATCTAACAATCACCTCTCCCTTACACCCACCCTGGCTGGTGTTCACGATGGGTGATTCGAATGTGCAGCCAAGCTTCATAGGAATTCTATCTGCTGTGCATCAATTACGATATTGAAAAGAGCAGATAAAAATCAGCCCATTTGTTCCTGGAACGTTGTATATGTATTTTAGCAGCTTTTCTGTGACGACTAGAGAAATACTCTTTCGTGGTATTTTATCTAAAGTCCCAGAAACCTACCTACAGAACAGCAACAGCAGCCACATAGTAATTTCATCCGGCAGAGATAATATCAAAATGTAAGTGTATTTCTTTCTCACAGTTTTTGTAAGTGAAAGTAAATCCCTGATCTTCCTGAAGAATTTATTCATTCATTATTCATTGAGTGTCTCCTTTACACCTTTAGGTATACAGCACAGGACAGACCCATGTCTTCTTAGAACTTACATACAGAACCTGTCTGAGTCTGTGATCATTCCATTGAGCAAGTAAAGTAATTTGTCTAGTTATTTGCTCTTTTCTTTCTGGATCATTTTTAACTAAGGGGAAAAAAAGATAAATCTCTTCATGAGAATCATTGTATACAAAAATTAATAGAGGTCGCAGGCCAGGGTTCCTGTGTGAATGATGAGAGGTCAGTAGACCGAACAGTTAAGCCTGTCCCCCCTCAACAGCAGGCACATTTCAAACTCATGTTGACCACTTCCAAATAGCTGAAATTGCAAAATGTCCACTAAATGACTATGCCTAGGTCAATTTTACATCCAGTATAAGGAATCTGCTTATCTTCCTAAGGAAACAAACTGTCAAAGACACATACGTCCATAACAGTGTTGTTTATCACAGACAAAAAATGGGGAGGAACTATCTGAATTTTTTTTAAATTTTAGTTTTATTTTTTGTGGGGGGGTTGGGGGAGGTGGTAATTAGGTTTGTTTATTTATTTATTTATTTATTTATTTATTTATTTATTTATTTATCTAATGGAGGTGCTGGGGATTGAACCCAGGACCTCGTGCATGCTAATCCTGTGCTCTACCACTGAGCTATATCCTCCCCATCCTGAATTTCTAACAGTGGGAAATTCGTTATATAAATGATATTATAGCATTACACACACGCACACACAAAAACAGAAGCAAAAAAATAAGAGAAAAAAGGAAAGAAAAAGAGAGAAAAGAAAAGGGAAAGAACCAAAAGGAAAAAGAACCCAAATTCCTAACATGAAATTGTTTGAATAAATAATATTACAGCCACCCAAGGGAATATTTTTAATTAGTAAATATTTAATATTATATTACATTAGGCTTTTATTCTTATAAGGAGATGCTTATGGTATATTGTCAATTGAGGTAAAATTGGATTGTAGAAATGTATGTACAGTATGTTCCATATTCACACAAATGTGTGTATGCATAAAATCACAGATAAGCCATGAAAAAGTCCTATACATGAGATCAAATTTTTACCCTTGGTTATCTGAAGAGTGAGACTGATCTTTTGTCATCCTTCATTTTTATGCTATTTGTACTATAAGAGACATGTAATTGTCTAATACAGAGATGATAAAAAATTTTCAATGAAGTCTATGCAAGCGAAGGTCCTCAGGTGTGGTTTAATACATAATTAGCACCATACCACAAATGAAACTTTATAATATGTACTTATTTTTTAGTTCTTTTTTTTAAATTGAATTATAGTCAGTTATAATGTATCAGTTTCTCGTGTACAGCATAATGTCCCAATCACACATATATACGTATATTCGTTTTCATATTCTTTTTCATTAAAGGTTATTACAAGATATTGAACATAGTTCCCTGTGCTCTACAGATGAAGTTAACATTGAATTATGTCATGAATCTTTTTTATGGCACAAAGTGTTTTGAGAAAAATCCATTTTCTATGGCAGCTTGGATCGCCTCCAATTGGGGAGTGAATGTGGCTGCTGTGCTTTGTGTAGAACACTCCCTTCCCAGGGCCCTTGCTCTGCGGGCGGTGCTTTGAATCCATCCTCCCATGCCCAGCCTCACGACAGGTGTCATTACCTGAGAAAATTAGAGCTTTATCCATAAAAACATCATCAGAAGTCTCAGTATCTAGTAGAGCAAGTCTCTCCTTCATACTCAACTTCTTTAGAAATATTTCACTTGCTCTTGGCCCTCCGCTTTTCATATGCATGTTAGAATCAAGTTGTCAAGTTCTACGGAAACTGTTAGCATTTTAGTTGGAGTTGCATTGTTTTTAGATCAATTTGGGGAGAATTAACATCATTAGGCTATTAAGTCTATCTGTCCATTTATTCATATATTCTTTAGTGCTTTGTACAATTTTATATTGTCTGTGTATGCTTCTCATAGATTTTGTGTTAGATTTATTTTTAGGTATTGACAACTTAGCTTTTTTCTCCGTCCTCCCAGAATACATTTTGAAAGTTGAAGTATACTTTACATACCATAAAATGCTCCCATGTTAAACGCACGTAAAATGTAAATGCAATGACCTTTGACAAATGGTCATTGTGTTAACCACCTGTGTTAACCAACCACTGCAATCAAGATACAGATCATTTTTATTACCCTAAAAAGTACCCTTGCGCCCCTTTACAGCCAATCCTTAGCCCCCAGGCAATTGCTAAATTATTTGTTGTCACTGAAAAATATTTTTTTAATAAGAACTTCATGTAAATGGTGTCAAAGTACTAATTTGTGTGTGTCTAGTTCCTTTGACGCAGCATAATGTTTTTGAGATTCATCTCCATTGTTGCACGTGCCAGTAATTTGTTTCTTTTTCTTGCTGAGTAGTAGCTTTGAGGATCAGAGTTTGATGTTTTATCTCTTTCTTCCACCCTTGCCTTTCAGCCAGCCTCTTGCTTTCTATCTTCAGTGATTCCGGAGCACAAAGAGTATCTGTGTATTCTTCTATCCTAAAACAAACAGAGCCAGTAGCCTTGTGCCCACCCTCCGGTGTGCGAGTGTGCTGCCGAGACCCTTCTATGGGTGGTAGTGGGTGGCTGTCCCTAATGCCTTCCTGCCAGCTTCCCTCCAGTTAAAAGAGGGAAAACCCACAGATCACGGCTCCCTGTCCAGTGGGGACTTCTGGCCACTGGACTTCCTGTTGAGAAGTCCCCAGCCTTCTGCACGGGGCTGCTTGGGATGTGTGTCCAAAGTGGCTGTGCTCAGATGGCTCTTCCTGGGCTCACTTTGTCTTTCAGGACAATCCTGAGAAGACAGCAGCGTCAGAACGAGGGGACTTTTACATCACGGGCGACAGAGCCCACGTGGACAAAGACGGCTACTTTTGGTTCATGGGAAGAAATGACGATGTGATCATTTCCTCAAGGTCAAGTTGTCTGCTCCCTCCCCCCTCCTTTGAAGCTTCATCGGGGAGGGGTGGTCACCTGGAAGAGTTTGTTTTTCTCTTCCAGCTACCGAATTGGACCCATTGAAGTGGAAAGCGCCCTTGCTGAGCACCCTGCTGTCTTGGAGTCTGCTGTGGTCAGCAGTCCAGACCCCACCAGAGGAGAGGTAACTAGGCCAGCCAAGAACATTGCCTCCCAGTTCTGTGCCTGTGAGCACCCAGCAGAGTGAGCTGCAAGGCCCAGAACCCCGCACATCCCCAGGTACCACAAGGTCTGAAATGCCACCATCAGACATACACACATCCGTTTTTCTTAAGCATTGTCCTCATGTCCTTAGAGATACACATACTCTCTAGAAGGATATAAACACTTAAGTGCCGAGTGGACACAGAACTGGGTCCCAAAGGGACTGTTAGGTCGGAGATCTTGGTGGCCGGTACAGACTTTCTCATCCATTCTGTTCGATAAAAAAATCCTTTTCCATTTGCAGATGAGAACATAGTGAGCACACCAAACATGGTTGCTGGTGGCTCTAACCTGGGAGGGATAGCCAACTTGAGGGAGGACTGAATAAATATTCCAAATGACCTGAATATATCAGAAAGATGGGCCAAATTTAATAAGCTAGCCTCTCTCGGGAGAAATGCACATTCCTTCTATGGGTCCCAGAGGAACAGACAGTGTGAGAGAAATAAGGTCATAGGCAGATCTATGTACTTTTTACTGGCTGTAAATCCAGCACAATCCTAATGTGCGGTGTAGTTACCTTATGAAAGTTTGTACAACATCAGGCTGCATTCTCAGAAGCATCACGGCAGAGGAGTGATCCGTGAAGTCTGGGCCCTGGACTGGTCACAGCTATATCTCCTGGGGTTCTTCTTTTACAGATTTCTAGACCTCAAGTCAGACTCGCTGAATCAAAGTGACTGGAGATGCAGCCCTAAGGAATCTTCATTTCGTCCAGAAGCCCCTAGCCAAGTGATTCTGATGCCCACTAAAATTTGAGGTCACTAACATAGAGTGAGGAACATGAGAGTCCCATCTATGTGATGGAGAAATTATACCTGGAAATGTATGCCTAGCTCTACATGTCACGAATGAACTGGAGCTGTGGCAAACGGCTGTGTGCTCAAAGCCTAGTGCTCAGAACAGAGCCCGGCACATAGAAAGTGTCTGAGAAATGCTTGGTAGTCATAGCAGTAAGAGAAAGCCCTTCCTAAAAACCAGATCTGTCTGAACATGAAATGGTAGTGAGATGCCCACCTTTGCAAAATATGCGAAAACAGTGAACCACCATTTAGGGTGTTGTTGACGGAGTTGTATGGTGGCCTTTGAACTCTTCTGTTCCTATCAGAAAACATGTTCTATTGTACCTGAGTTTGAGACTCATTCTCCTCGTTGGCAGGAGGCAGCCTGCAAGAAAGATGTAGGCAGACAGAGCCAAGGTGCAGAGTGTGTCTCAGGATGCCTGAAACAGCTGTGGAGCAAAATGCTCGCTGATTGCACACACTCACACATGCAGCCTCACAGAGACTCACCTCCCCTTGCAACTGGTCTGCAGTTTCCCCCCATCCTGCCTGTCCAAACCTATACCCAGCTGCCTTCCTAGCCATGAAAACCTGTAAGTAATTGGCCGTGAGGAGTTTGTGAATCTCCTCTCTCCAAACTATTTGCATCCTAAGAAAAATCACCTTGGCTCCTAACTGTGTCATTTCGTGTATGGGGAATAGTTTGGAGAACTGGACTCTGAAATCATTCCACAGAAGCCACAACTCCCAATAGCTGATACTGGGAAGACAAGTCATAGGGAAAAACAAAATTGGTGGTGTCCAATTTGCTGGCTGAGTCCAAGGCACTGGTAGAACTTTTATGTCAGGCTGGCAAACGTGAGCACATATTCACAAGGCTAGGCTAAGGAGGAAAGAGTTGTTGTATGAGGTCCAATTTTCTCAGTTTTGTTTTTGTTTTCCAACAGGTGGTAAAGGCGTTTATAGTCCTTTCTCCAGCCTACTCCTCACGTGATCCAGACACGCTAACCTGGGAACTCCAGGAGCATGTGAAGAGGGTGACTGCTCCGTACAAGTACCCCAGGAAGGTAGACATCGGACGATCTAGGACATGCTAAGCTGGGGAACGGAACGGGCATGTGCTCCCTGGAATTGCACTCAGGGAGGGGCTCTGGGGAGACGACCCTGCATATAGCCCTGGCTGCTCCTTCAGCCCTTTCCTCCTGTTTCTTCCGAGTAGCACACTGGGCTCCCACTCTAAGAACTGGCCATAAGCCAGGTTCAGGGGGTGGTGCTGAAATGCTCTTGGAAATAGCATGCCAACCTCGCTATTTTGATTGTTGCCACTTGGGAGAACCAGGAATCAAGGAGTCTTTCCAATGAAGTGGCAGAGGGGAATGGCTCTTTCCAGACAAAAATAAAAACCAAAAAGTCTTTCTGGGAATCGATGATTTCAAAGTGTTTTTGTTTTATGGCGACTAGGTGGAATTTGTTTCAGAACTGCCGAAGACGGTTTCTGGAAAGATCCAAAGGAGTAAACTGAGACGCCAAGAGTGGGAGAAATGAGAGGCAACCTCGGAAAGGCCCCCCTGTAGGCCTCTGGAGCGTCTCAGAGGAACTGGGGCATCACCGGTTAGCCCCCACTTGGAGCATCATCCCATCATCCCTTTGACCCTTCTGACATCAAAGGCTTCCAGCTTCCAAATGAGCATCTCCAGAATCACTGCATGACCCTGGAAGAGAGCAGCACGTCGTTAACCCAGAGTTCACAGCCACTGCCCAGTCAGGCAGATGTTCGGTGGCTTGACTTCCCCCTCTACCTGGAGGCATCCTTAACAACTTCCCACTGGTCTTTCCTCCTCAGAGTTTTCAGCTATCCCGCCGAAGGACAGGTCGCCGGAGCGCTGGGGCACTTGCGATCTCATTCACTGCCAGTGAGAGTGTAACCACTTGACCCTTTTTTAAAAAAACAATTAATTAATTAATTAATTAATTAATTAATTAATTTTTTAATTGAAGTACAGTCAGTTACAATGTGTCAAGCCAGAAAGAGAGAGAAAAATACCACTTGACCCTTTTGATAAAGCTATTCGGTAATCATATCCAGGGCCATAAAATAGTGGTCATGCCCTTTAGTTCAGAAACACCATCTTTCGGAGTCACTGCAAAGAAAGGATTCAAAAGATGTTCACTGTAACACTGTTTAAAACCACGAAAAAGAATGGAAGGAGAATGAATGCCTAGAAATTTGTTTTTTTAATCTTTTTTTAACATTTTTTATTAATTTATAATCATTTTACAATGTTGTGTCAAATTCCAGTGTTCAGCACCTAATCTATTTTTATGTATAGTGGCTAACATTTGCAAATCTCAAACTCCTAAATGGATCCCTTCCCCCCTCCTTTCCCCTGGTGACCATAAGATTGCTTACTATGCCTGCGAGTCTGTTCCTGTTTTGTAGATGAGGTCATTAGTGTCCTCTTTTTTCTTTTTTAGATTCCACATGTGAGTGATATCATATAAAAAATAAATTTCTTCTGTATAGCACAGGGAGCTATATTCAATATTTTGTAATAACCTTTAACAAAAAATATGAAAATGAATATATATATGTATATGCGTGATTGAGACATTGTGTTGTATGCCAGAAATTGACACATTATAACTGACTGTGCTTCAATTAAAAAAAAAATGAATACCTAAACAATAGGATGGTGATTAACTAAATTGTAGTAGATTCATTCAATAACATCTTATGTGGTCTTTAAAAAGATGCCTTGGGGGAAACTTGAGTTAAATTAATTTTAAATCAGAATAAAAATAATATATGTATAGTGGGGAACCACAACTTTGAAAGGTAAAGGAAAAGCTACAGATGGAGAAAAGATTAAAGAGAGATTCGCTGAAATGTTAATAGTAGTTTTCTTGGATATTGAAAATGGATGATAGATTTTTTTCCTTTCCTCTACAATTCACTATTTTCCAAGTTTTCTCAGTGACTATATTTAACTCTTTTAATGAATAAATTATTTTAAAGAAATCATCCCCCAACGCCATACTCTGCCTCATGTCTTGTTCTTCTTCCACTTACCAACAATCGTCTCCAAATGGTCGTATGTTATGTTTTACCCAGGAAAGATACAAGAATCTGAAACCGTGTCTCAGAAGCCCAGAGATGGAAAGGACTGGCTCTGGCAGCCGAGACCAGCCATGCAGAGAAGCAGCAGATGGAAACTCGGAGTGATTCTGGTGCTCCTTGCCCAACTCCTCGCACTTCCATTCACTCATTAGCCCATATTTACTGAGAGCCTGCTCAGCCCTGGGCTCGGGGAACACAAGCATAAGAAAGCAAACCCAGTCCCTCCTACCTGTGTTAGTTTGTTCGAGCCGCCCTGACACAGTACCTCAGACAGGGCAGCTTTAATAAAAGAGATTTATTCCCTTAGCTCTTGAGCCTGTAAATCCAAGATCAAGGTGTGGGCAGTGTTGGTTTCGTTCTGAGGCCTCTCTCCTCTTCTCCTGTGTCTTCACATAGACTTTTCTCCGTGTCTGTGTCCTAATCTCCTCTTATAAGAACACCAGTCATACTAGATTAAGGTTCACATTTTTTACCTCATTTTAACGTAATCACCTCTTTACGCCCCCATGTCTGAAATAGCACATTCAGAGGTACTGAGGGTTAGGACTTCAGCACATAAATTTGAAGGGACACAATTCCGTCCACAACGCTGCCATTGTGGTGTGAAGGAAAAGCCCAGCTGGGCTAACAAGCTAAGTCACAAATCTAAGTGCAACAAGTGTTGGATTACTGATCTGAGTTCTGCTGGGCTAACTCATGAATCTGAAGTTTAGTGTCAGTCTATTGGGCTAACGAGCTCAGTCACAAATCTAAGTGTGATAATTGTCGGTTTACTGATATAAGTTCTGCCGGGCTAACTTGTAAATCTAAAGTTTAGTGTAAGTTTACTAGGCTAACAAGCTAACTCATAAATCCAAGCTCAACAAGAGTCAGTAACGTGATCTGTTCCAAATTGATAAGCTCCAGTGTACTGATTCCTTGCTTTTTGTTGTTTGAATCTTATTGGCTAATAGCCCCATACTTGTAATTAACCCTATAAAACCTCATGTGCACGTCTTGG